GCTTTCTAGTACCTTAGAAAGTCGCTTGTGAGGCAGAATAGGTCATGTATATTTGTATGACACGCTGCTGCTGTTCCAGAGAAGCACACTGAATCCAGAGAAGTTTCGGAGGTTTTAATGTAACAATCGGATAATACAGCATATTATACAACATATTTGGTGTCCAGCTCATGAGGTAGAGCTCAGACCCAACAGTTGTATTAGACTATATCAGTTTTAGCTACATGTTCCTAATAAATTGTCAACTGAGTGTACATTAATAATTATCAGCTGTATGCACAGGCTGCAAAGAGCCTGACTGGAATTAATTGATTGCTTTTGGTGTTTTCACCTGGGAACTGATACTGACGTCAGTGTAGTGTCTCATCGCCAGTCCCTGGAGTTTGTCACTGGTAGAGTTTATTGCTTCTCTATCTGAACACACTTTATGTTGTTGTTTTCTTCGTAACAATGACTAACCACCTAACTACTTTAAACTTACCAGTTCTGCTCTAGCACCCACAGCTCTCCACTGCTTTTAGCGAATTTCACTGATTCAGCATTTGTTTACATGCTATTCAGAACTGATTGTTACTTTAGCTTAGCAATTAGCTCAGGCTTCTTTCTCTCTCTCCCTTGCTCAGTGCGTGTGTCTCGTACCAACAAATTAACTTGTACATAAGAGTGTTGTGTTTTTGTAGCTTCAGAATATTGTATTGTGATGTTTATTACAACTTCAGTGATGTCTGCTGTCGTGCTGTCGACACACAGCTCCGCTCGCTTGTTGAGTTACAAACAAAATAGCATGTTAGTTATTACTCACAAATCCCTGAGTTGTCATCTGGACTATGAGTGAACAATGACGAACTGGGTGATGCCAGGCAATGGGAAGCATGAGTGGTAGGCTGGAGACAACAGTCCAGACCAAGCGGTAGCTGCGCGAGAGACTTCTGCTCGATGTGTTTCCTGGTCCTCTCTGTCTAAGTGTACAAGTGTGCACAAGACAGTTTTCTCAGTCACTTTACTCATTCACTTCACTCATTTACCTCTAATGCTGAGTTCGTTAAAACCAGCTGACAACATTAACACATACCAGCAACACACAGTAAAATTAGCTACTTCTACATTGAAAAAAATGCTATTATGGCTAGCCCGCTAATCGCAGTTAGCTTTTCACTTGATCACACCTTAATGAAGCAGTATAAACATACATACTTTATGACATTAGTTTATCCGTCTATAGCATTATTTAATCCGAATTAAACGACATGAACACAAACAATGTCATAAATAATAGAGTAAATGTTTTCTTACCTGATATTTTTGCAGGATATAAATTAACTTAACTTCTCATAGGTGACCAAACAGATTCCCTCCGACCTTTCCGTATATTCCAGCCCTCCATTAACACCCTACAACTCACATTTGCTCAAAATAAGAATTTGGCAGATATAAAATAATTCAGGTTACAGACGATTGAGTAGCAATGCGGAGTGCGGACACCCAGCAGCAGCACACCCACTAAACACATATTCTCAAAGTTGACCTATGAGAGGCACGCAGGTTGTCATTGGCCAGATGCCTTGATGACAGTCACATCAACCAATCATGCTCAAAGGCTCACGATGAGACAGCCAATAGCATTTGTTTCAGCACGGCAACAATAGGAAAATATGATTTGTTTTAAAAGAAAGAAATGTGTGTATTTTGTTTTATTTGTAGGCTATTTCATTTTGACCAAGTAGGTCAAATATTGTTTTTGTAGGGTATGAATAAAAAGGTTTTTTGTAAAGTTTTATTAATACCTATGGGTTTATACATACACACACATACAGACACACACACGGTACAGTATACAGAATACCATATTTTAGTGTTTACGAACTGACCGAAGATCTAGTTTATTGAACAAGGCTCCCTGAGCTGATGGAATCAGGTGGCCACAGCAAATTAATTGGTCATTGTCAAATTTGTACTGTTTTCTTTCGTGGTATATGGTGCATACACAAATACACAGCCTGGTAAAGTCTAGGCAGGAAGACAACAGCAAGAAGCACCTGGATTCAGCTTCAACCCTGCTTGCAGTATGCTTGCATGTTCCCCTTGTGTTTCTTCCAGGGACTCTCATTACTAGTACAAAGTGTGTGTGTGTGTGTGTGTGTGTGTGTGTGTGTGTGTGTGTGTGTGTGTGTGTGTGTGTGTGTGTGTGTGCCTGTACCTATGTGTGTGATTACGTGTAGTAATTTTTTTTTACAAAAATGGGAAATAAATGTAATTCATTATTATTGGCTTATGCCACTGCTTAAAATAAAAGTTTGGCTGTTAATTCACAGATAATTTCTGTAATTTTACAGACTTTTGTGCACAATTTAAAAAAAAACAGAAAATTACTGTAAAATTTTCAGTTATTATCTGTAAAATTAGGATTTCTTTTACAGTGCATGAAAAAAGTACAAGACAGTGAACTCCAAGAAAAAGAATCTGCACAAAGTATTAATCTGTCAGATTTTGAGTTTGTCACAATATCATCTCCACTCCACCCATTGACAAGCTATTATTAGACATAGTTGACAATCGAAAGGATTACCAGGATTATCAGTCAATTTTGCTACCACCTGTGAACAGCCCACCAATAACAATGCAAACATCTGTGCTATTCAAAAGCGGCAAAACCTATTGGAGAACTGTGTTGTTGTTGATGTTTGATGTGGGAGGTGTTGCCTCTAGATGCCCAAGATGGAATAGTTTCCTATAATTCAGCAATCAATCGCACTAAATTGCATAAAATATATGCTATAAGGGTTGAAACTTTCTAGCCTGTTCAGGAAATATACTTAAGTCGCCGCAGGTGTTTTTCCCCAGCTGTTCTACCAGGACATCTGTTGTGATACAGTATCACTGATTATCATTTTAGCAACAGTTTTTGTGTCCTGTGTGATTTAGTGTTGACGTGCCCTTCATGGTACAGTGTTTCCCACATGTCAACTTTCCATCCATCCTCCTACAGAATCCGTGTGACAGTTAATGGAGAGTTTCTGCATTATATCTACCCTTTCCAGTTTCTGGATTCACCTGTGTGGGACTCTCTCAAACCATCACCATTTAACAAACATTTAACAAACATGTCTTATTAATCTTATTTCTTTGTGCCATAGGCCTTTGAATATATTTTTCCTGGCATGAAAAGAGTAGGTGTAAATAATAACATAAACTCCAATTGTATTTTCGGGGTCCTAGTATTTTTGAATGCGGGGTCACTGGAATAACTCATTGGGGCACTTTGAGCTGTTGTCTCAAAGTCCAAAGCTAAGTTGAAAAATTTAGGAGTGTATAAAGACTATTAGGACCCCAATGAAAATCAATCAAATAATGTGCAATTATTTATACTTGAAACTGCTTTAAACAGTATAAATGGTATGAAATGAACAGTGTTTCCCACAGCAACACAGAAAAAGAACAGGGCAAGGAGGGGCTGAGTAAATCATTGTGCTTCGGCCATAATTAATAATGAAGTAGGTCTTATAAACATAAGAAAAGTCAGTTTAGACAGAAAAGTGGTGTCTATAGGGCCCTTTGAGCAGACAAGTGGATCATGTGATTTTTTTTAATAGACAATGGAATTTTGCCATAGGTTTTATTCACACTTTTGCTCCTGAATATAATTTACATCTATTTTTAGTTGTGAGTGACAAACTGACAAGCCCTGATTAGGTTTATCTGTGCTCTACCAACTATGACAAATGAAAATATCAGTTGTGAAAAAGATGTGTTGTTGTCCAAAATTACACACTGTTGCACCGGGTGTCATGTTCCCTCATTACCGAGAACACACACTGCAGTTTATTTTTATCCAGGCCAGGGAAACCTTTTTGGCACATGCCAGGTAAATAGGCTAATGGTGTCTGTATTATTGGAAAAATAAATTGTGTAAACTGTGTAGATTTTTCTTATTTTTTGCACTGTGTATGTATATATATGTGTGTGTGTGTGTGTGTGTGTGTGTGTGTGTGTGTGTGTGTGTGTGTGTGTGTGTGTGCAGAAATATTTGCTAAAGAGAATGGTATTCAGTATATTATTAGGAATCTTGGAATATTTTAAGGGAATCCACAGGTGACCCTGCAAGCTGTTAGTGAGTTTCAAGGGAAGTTATCTCAAATCTGCCCACATTGTAATCAGACATCAATATGCAAATTCGGTATGTAGAGCTGGCAGTCAGCATTGGTGTGTCAGGTCAAGAGGATACTGCTGGAGGAGAATACTAAAAACAGGGTCACATGACTGATAGCCTAACATCCATAGACTATTTATGGTATTCTTGGTAACAAGACAAACTTGTGGGATGCTTTCGGTCTTCACATTACCTTGACAAATGACACTGTTTGAAAGCTCTGTCTGTGCAAATCTCCACATCACTACCTGCAATAAATATCATATACGTGCCTCTGTAACTTTGGTTCAGTATCTCTTACACTCATTCTTACCTTTTCATTTAAACATTGGTTGTAATGCTCTCAACTGGTTCAATTGGAGAAGAACTCTAATGCTCAGGTTTTATCAGGCCAAAACCACTGAAGCCAGAAGAGGCCAGGGAAACCTTTTTGGCACATGCCAGGTAAATAGGCTAATGGTGTCTGTATTATTGGAAAAATAAATTGTGTAAACTGTGTAGATTTTTCTTATTTTTTGCACTGTGTATGTATATATGTGTGTGTGTGTGTGTGTGTGTGTGTGTGTGTGTGTGTGTGTGTGTGTGTGTGTGTGCAGAAATATTTGCTAAAGAGAATGGTATTCAGTATATTATTAGGAATCTTGGAATATTTTAAGGGAATCCCGAAAGATATCTTCCTCTTGGTATTTCGATTTCAAGACATCAAGATACTATGATACTAGATAATTGCCCCGTCTCCCCCTTTCGGAGCTCTCGGTCACTGTGGGCTTCACTGCTCTCGCCTTCTTGCCTATTTTAGTCTGACACTGTCAGCTGTGTGGAATGTGCGACGCACATTGTGCAGACCCCGATCTGAGGGTCCAGCCCGCAGTCACCAGCAGTGTCTCAAATCCTTCCTCCTCCTGTGCGGTACAGACAGCTCGCTGATAGTTCGCAGTTTTACCAACAGATGCAGAATCGGTAAGTTTTCCTCTCGGTACTTTCACAAGCGGTTAGAAAATTGAAGCTATCAGGAATTGTCTGCAGCTTGAGAGCACAACCACATCTATTTTTACATGTGACGGAAAAGACAGCAGCAGATACTGTTACAGTGGGAGAATGTCGCTTGTAGTCGGGAAGTAAAAATAACTTCAGTAAAATTTGACAAATAGTTTGTGAGCACATGACTACAGTTAATGTTTTGAGTAGAACAGATGCAGTCAAATTTTTATACAGGCGTTTCCATGTCCAATCCTACTGTGAGTTCTATCACAGGATATGAAGTAACATTGAACTGCTCTTTGCCAATATGGTAGGCTGCATGTTAAAAAATAAATAAATAAATGAAAATAAAGATGATGGTTAAGTAAGATAAAAAGTCCATGAAAATTAAACAAATATACACCCCAACACATAAATAAAATAATGTAAAAATACATAAATGCAGCAAACCCACGCCCTTGTACAGAATTGATTTAGCTGCTGCCTTATTTAATTGTGCAATAACAAACTGAATGACCAAAATGTCAGTTCAGTTGGAAGTTCAAAATTTCATTTACAGATAACAACTAAGGGAAAATCAATAACCAAATTTTAGTTTCAGCTATAGCCACAGTTATCTCACAAGCTAGCTTTCACTTGATATAGATGACTGACTAGCTCCTCAGTTAGCTTACTGTAGTATTAGTAGTAGCAGTCTCACTGTGATCACTAGCTATATAGGCAATAACTGCAACCTTGGCAACAATACAAAGCCAGAGTGCAGTAACTACAGAGCCAAAGTGTTCATACTGTGTTTTGTTTTTTAGGTCTGTTTTTTAGTTGAATGCAATTTGAAAAAGCTGTTTTTCACAGAAATTACATATTCTGTAGCATAATATTTTTTGTCTGGTAAAACATAACGTCAGATACCTTATGACTGAGTTTTGACCAACTCGATTTGTGTGTACTAATTTATAGTAGTCGTAAGTCGTAAGTGATGGCTCACAGGCTGAAGAAATACTAAATATTTGGACACACCAACCCTGAACTACTAAGTCATATTTATCTCAAATTAGAATGCATATATGCAATGCATAAAACAATTATTCCTAAATTAACATCAAAAATGGTGGTAGCAGTTACATCTAAATAAAAGCCCATTTTACCTCTAATTTTACCTTAGTCCACTCAGCTAATTAAAAAGAAAGCTGTGCAGTGTTTGTATCTGTTTGTATTTGTTATCGTATGAAGATAGTTTTAGTACAAAACGAGAGCACCTGTGAGAGGGGAATTAGTAGTTGTATAAAATAGTCACACATTTGTATCAGTAAATTTGAGGTCACAGAGAAAAAATGCTCTAGGAGTTGTACACTTGTAGAGTTTTTCTCTCCCACAAACACAACACAACAGTAACACCTTCTCAAATTCTTCATTGCAGGTGCACAAATCATGGTTTACAAATCAAAAATTAAGAAACTTTTTTCTTGGATATTTTTTATTGCACAAACACAAGTCAATAACTACAACTGTTTGAATCTTCCGCTACGAGTCCCAAATGGCAAGCTCTACACACTCTGACTTTTGCACCAAATGTCTTTGTGAAATGTGAAGCAAAAGAGATTTGTACCTGTGGCACCTCAATCCATGCCCACCTCTTATGTAGAGGCTGCATACAAAAATGCTTATCCCGACTCACCTCTTGTCTTTCTGGATCGATCGCACCGTTTGCAGTTATGTATGATCCGGCTGCTCCAGCTGGCTGGTCGAAGGACAAAATAATGTAATAACAGTTATAATAGAATAAGTATTAGAGTAACAATAGTGAAATGTAAAACTACATGTACTGCAGTCCAGTACATTATGCCAAGTTGCCCGGTACAACCAACATGGCGGCAATGTTTATCCAGCAGCCAATGCAACCTCTACGTAAGAGGTTGCCGCGGCTTGAGGTGCCACAAGTACAAATCATTTTTCTTCAGACGTCTTAACATCTTTGCTAACATCATGATTGGATGAATTGATCAATTCATCCAATCATATTTTCTCTAACCTTGCCCTAGTCTTTAAGGTGACCCTGCTGAAGGATGTCTTCTACCTCAGAGCACCACCACCCCTTGTACACCACACTGCCCTCGTTCCCCTTGTCCACTCCAGGAGTCCCAGCTATGCCCAATGCTACTTTGTGCCAGGAGTGGCAGCAAACCCATCACCTCCTATTCCATCTGGGGAACCTTTCCCTGCTGCTGGGCGTGGTCATCCCAACTACCCTTGGTCTGCACATGATCTTGCTGCGCCTCCTCCTCATAACAGGTCAGTCCACAGTGCCCCCTGCGGATGGCATTCCTGTGTTCGTAATACTGTAGCTTGGAATATTGGAGAATACTAATAACGGCAACAGATGTTTTTATCATAATCAAAACTGTCCCATGCATTAAAGCATCAGTAAATTGTTACCAGCTTGTTGAGGATTTGGTTTAGTTTAGTTGACATTTGGAGATTTTGGATTTTTTAAAATCTGTTCTGCACAGAGGGATCAATTCAACAGAGCTGAGGTCATAAAAGGCTCTGATAATAGCAGATAAAGGAAGGAGAGAACGGCAGTTGGAAAAAGCACTTCCAACATGTTTATCTTCTACTTGGAAAGAGAGTGGAGACAGGAAGCAGCAGATTTATGGGAAATGTGGTTGTAATTTTGACAGTTCATTTATGTAAATTGACCTTTGGCCAAAGCTAGTCTCAGAGAGGAAAGAGGAAGAGTAAACTAACAGAGCTAGAGTAGTTAGTCTTGTAAGGTAACTTTAAAACATCTTGGGTATTCTTGTATTATCAAAGTCTACATGGGTCATAAGTATAGTAATACAGTAGACAAATAAATCAATCAATTAATGTATTAATTAATTTTTATATTAATTTGATGAAAAAAATGTCTTGTTTTAAACTGCAGCTGAATTAAATATCCTTTTCCTTGCAATTTATTCTAGTTTAGCGTGTAGAATTTTCCTGCATAACTAAGTTCATTAATCAGTCTTAAATACCTGAGCCATATATATATCATGGGTATGGGTATATGTATATATACTTTATGAATGACTTTATGAATGGCTCGTATTTAACAAATAATAATTGATTGTTTAATTCCAAGTGAATTCAGTTTATACTTATGATGCAAGTACATTTCATACATTTTAGTGACACATATGGTTGCATGGCTGTAATAAAAATCAGAAACTTGAAATTGCAACCACAGTAGCTATATATGATGTTGTCTTTATTAATATATTAAATCAGACTGAAGTATTTAACTTTAGATTGAGAATCTCTGAATCAACTTTTAATATTTAGTTTATAGCTATATCTTCCCCTCTGTCTTTAACCCTCACAGGATGTGGTCTCTTAATTTCATGGGCGACTCTGTATAGGTGCAACCTGGATGTGATGGTTTGGAACGTGGTATTTCTGGTGGTCAACTTCATGCATTTCTTCTTCCTCGTGTACAAGCGAAGGCCAGTGAGTTAAAAACAACATGCCCTCATTCACATTCTAAAAGTCACTTACATTCAGGCCATTAAAGTGTTTATTTAGGCTCAGTGCTGAGTTTTTCTTCGCTGTCTCTGGCAGGAAGCAGCATATCCTCTTGGGTTCAGGCATGCTTTATGTTAATAAGATACAGATTTTATCAAATCCATGGGTGCCACTGGAGGATTTAGTGTAAGAAAGGGACCTCTAGCAAGCTGGTAGAGCCAGACCAGGACTTTTCATAATGTGACAGGAGACAGGTCGTCCACAGTCACTTTTCCTTTACCAATTCACCAACTCTTTGAATGTTATTTCAATTTGACCACAGCAACATTACTGAACTTTGCTTTTTATGTTAGATTTTCATTGGAAAGATGAGGTAAGGTTGTGACTCGTCTCTGTCAGATTAAGATCGACAGGGAGCTGCGGTCAGTCTACAAGCGAATGTTTGAGCCCCTCCATGTGAAGGAGGCTCTGTTTCAGAGGCTCACAGGACAGTTCTGCACCATCCAGACACTGAAGAAAGGCCAGGCCTATGCTGCGGAGGACAAGACCTCTGTGGATGAACGTCTCAGCATTCTCCTCAAAGGAAAGTATGTGCATTTTGTCTGAATCCAGGTGCAGCTGTTGTTCTGTTAGTCATCCTTTATAAATGGACAAGTCCCAGTGATTGATTCATACTGTTCAAATGACAGATATTGCATTTCTTATTACATTCCCTGTGAGAGTCCAGGGGTACAGGAAAGTAACAATGAATAAAATTATTTTCTGTTTCGCCCGGGCAAAACAGGAAAACAGATTCAACCAAAAATAAGGAATTTAGAAAACTATAACAAAAAAAACAACAGTGGAACACTCAATGGGTAGCTACATTTGTACCTAACCACGGAATAGGAATACTATCACTATCAGAATCAACACTATAGCTCCACGCAGCTATCTTATAGACAACACACACAGCTCAACAGCTGCTGAATGTTGCTCTGGCACTGGCCAAGCATCCTCATTCCCCCTTTAAGCTTCAGCCTTTGATTAGGGAACCAGGGAAAACCGTTCCTAATCACCTGGTGGAAAAAAGGGGAGGGCAGAGCACAGACCAGCACGCACACACATCCTCATAACACTACGGCACGTAACACTCTTATTAATATTGTGGTTTGGTGCTGAAATGATTAATAAGTAAGACAAGATTAATAATTGTCAGCAGTTTTGATAATTGATAAGTTTTTTACTTATTTACTACTTATTTGCTTTTGTCTCTTTTATACCATTGTAAATTGAATATCCACATCTGTCAGCTGTTTGAGGTTTCTTTGTGTTCCATGGTCTAAATACTTCTTCACAAGGTTTCCCAACCCTAGCAAAATTAAAAATATACTCTCCCAGTTTGTCATGGCTGACAATGATTTTTGAAGGAGCTATAATAAAATCAGACAGTGTGCCCTTAAAATAAATGTTCTGCTATTTGTGAGCATTACTTATATTAAATAGAAAATATTGATTACAAACAATGGCTATTTGCTTTTATAATCTAAAATATATCAACACTGACATCAGCGTTCAAATATCCATATAGGTTTATACATAATATATCCTAATATCTAAGAATAATGAAAAAACATTCTACAAAAGCCTTGAAAGGCAAGTGAATGTTTTTGTTTGTTTGTTTTTTTTGCCAGGATAATTTTTCTTTTTTTTTTTTTCTTTTTTTTTGTGAAAACATCTGTGAAAACGAGCTCCCCAGGTCTTTTGAAAACTTTTGGGACTGAATGTGGAACTTTTTGAATAATTTTAAGAAACGTTTAAGGAGTGTTTGAGCAATTTTTAGAGTAACTTTGGGACTTTTTGACTTATCCTGATGATGGATTGAAGACTTTTTTATTAATTCAGTAGGTTAATTTGCAACTGTTTGAATATTTTTTGTAGACTTTTAGAGTTTCAGAGTGAATTTGGATATTTATAAACAATCATGAATTTGAAACCTATGAAATAATTTTGAGACTATTTCTAAGAGTAATGTGGGACTCTATCTATCATTAGAGGAACTGGGACTTCAAGGAACTAACTTCTTTGGCTTCACCAATCAACGAGTGGCTTCCACACAATACACATTTTTGTATTTCAGATTAATCAGAGTTTTGACTTTGACTTTGAAGTTTCTCTGTGACAGGATGAAGGTATCATACAGAGGCCATTTCCTCCACAACATCTATACCAATTCATTCATTGATTCTCCAGAGTTCAGGTCTACTGAGCTGCACAGAGGAGAGAAGTTCCAGGTAATATGAAAATCAGATAAATAAAAGAGATGAACAAATCCCATTTACATCATCATTGCTTACTGCGTTAAAAATCTCTGAATAAATAATGAAAAATATTTGATTGTCTTACCATACACTTAGCCTTTATGTGGGGTGAAATGAATAATCGGTCACAGCTTTATTTAACCTGATGCTCCTAAGATTTCATGAATAGGTTATACAATCCTCACGTCTTGAAAAACAAATTTGTTACTGTAATTGACAGGTGACTATCATGGCAGAGGAGAACTGTAAGTTCTTGTGTTGGTCTCGAGAGAGGCTTACCTACTTCCTGGAGTCAGACACTTTCCTCAGTGAGGTGTTCAGGTACCTCATAGGGAAAGACATCACCAACAAACTGTACTCTCTGAATGACCCAACACTCAGTGACAAGGTAGGCCTAGTTCTGATGTCAGATTATATTAAAAAATGTTGTTTTAGTTTTTAGCAGCAAAAATGCTGGAAGTATAAACACTTTAATAGTGTACTATATGAAAGTTATAACAATTCTTATTGTGCAGATGTTGTTGTTGATGATGTTGGTGATTAAATGCGTCCCAGGCAGTGAAGAAGATGGACCGTGAGCCCAGCCTTTGTTCTCAGCTGTCTATGATGCAGATGAGGAACAGCATGGCGAGTACAAATGACACTGATGATGTTCTCAACCAGATCCTACGAGGAGGATCAGCTGGATCATCGCTCCGTAAGTCACCTTATCACCCAATAAGATTAAAGCTATTATGTGTAGGTATTATGTGTAGAAGTAGCCTAGTCACAAAATAAAAAAATTACGGAAGAGAGGCCTTCATTTGGAATAAGCTTGTATTAGAGAGGCCTTTTTTCCCATGTTAAATGGTTAATATTAATGTACATTTTGTCGATTGACGACATTATTTTACGTTGTTGTTTTGTCTGACAATGGAGAAAATGTACACGAGGGAAAATCTCCTGGCTTTAAAGTGTACCAGAGATGTCATCACACTTGTTAGCCAGGGAGTTATGATTCCCAATGAGGACTGATGGTAGAAAAGGCTTATATCTCCATCACCTAGCCAGTAGCTTAGGTCTGCATAAAAATGAAATGCAATGCCATGTTTTCTAAGAATGGACCCCAGGGGGAGCATATAAAGAGAAAATAGGATAGGCCCAAGAATGGACCCCTGAGGCACTCCACAAGGTAAAGGCGCTGAGGAGGACACACAATTACCAAGGCTGACAGAAAAACTTCTGACTGGAACACCTCAAGAATACCTGCAATTGAATAAGCACAATTTTTTCCAGGATTTTTGAAAGAACAAGCATAATTTTTTCCAGGATATTTGAAAGAAAGGGAAGTTTTGAAATGGTCTAAAATTTGAGAGGACTGAGGTGTCCAGATTAGGTTTTTTGATCAGTGGTTGCACAACCGCATGCTTAAAATTAGCTGGTACAACACCTTTATAAGGGCGTGCCAATAACTCTTCCAGTTGCAGCAGGGACAGGGAGACAGGTCAGGGTTGAGGTAAAGCTGAAGGGAGCAAAGTACAGCGATATCTTTAATGAAGATATCTCAGGAGTGGTTTAGGGACAACTCTGTGAATGTCCTTGAGTGGCCCAGTCAGAGCCCTGCCTTGAATCTAATCGAACATCTCTAGAGAGACCTGACAATGGCTCTCAACACACAGATAGATACACAGACAGACAGACAGACAGACAGACAGACAGACAGACAGACAGACAGACAGACAGATAGATAGATAGATAGATAGATTCTTTATTTATCCCCTAGGGGAAATTCTTTTAGCTCATTGTTGATAATAATAATAATAATAATAATAATAATAATAATAATAATAATAATAATAATAATAACAATAATAACAATAATAATGATAATAAAAACAGTTAATAATTAATAAACAATAATAATTACATTAGTCCACTTCCTTTGGCTGAGGTGTTGTATAGCCTGATGGCAGTGGGAACAAAGGATCTCCTGAACCTCTCTGTTCTGCAGCGCAGTGAGATGAGACGTTTGCTTCTGTAGCTACTTCTCTGTCCTGCCAAAATGATGTGGAGAAGATGGTTGGTATTGTCCAAGATGACTCCATCTTATATTGCATGCATCTCTCCACAACAGTCCTGATTGAGTCCAGACTCCTGCCAAGCACAGACCCAACCTTTTTGACCAGCTTGTCTAGTCTCTTTGTGTTCATGTCAGACATGTTGCCGCCCTAGCAGACTGCAGCATAAAAGAGTAGACTGGCCACCACTGACTGATAAACCATGTAACATTTCACTGCAGACGTCAAAGGACCTGAGCTGCCTGAGGAAAAAGAGCCGGCTCTGCCCCTTCCAGTAGATAGCATACGTGTTCAGGGACCAGTTCAGTTTACTGTCCAGGTGCACGCCTAGGTATTTATAAGTGTGCCATCTCCTTGGTCTAGGTGTTCAGAAGGAGACAGCTCTTGTCGCTCCATTCACTGAAGGCCATCATCAGATCCCTGTACTCCTCTTCCTGCCTGTTCCTGATACACGTCACAATAGCTGTGTCATATCTGGATGTGGCAAGACTCACAGTTGTACACAGGGTGAACAGGAACGGAGGCTTAAGTTAAAGATCCTCTGGAGAGGCTCAGCCAGCCGGGCTGCGCAGTCAAGTCAGGTCATTTTTATTTGTATAGTGCCAATTCACAATATACATTATCTCAAGGCACGTTCCAAATTGAGCAGGGACCCAACAATTCCCACCAAGAGCAATCACTAGGCGACAGTGGCAAGGAAAAACTTCCTTTTAAGAGGCAGAAAACTCAAGCAGAACCGGACTCAGGGTAGGCGGCCATCTGCCTCAGCCAGTTGGGATGGAGAGAGAGAGAGAGAGAGAGAGACAGAGAGAGAGCAAGAGACAGAACAGAGGAAAAGAACAAGAACGTACAGTGATAGCAATATTAATAATAGTGACAGTAGTGACAGCAGCGGCAGTAACAGCGATATTACTATCACTGTTACTGCCGCTACTAGTGGCAACTGTAGTGCTCATACTGATAAAAATGGTAATGACACATAATGAAATTAATAATGATCATTGTTGATCATACTAAATTTTAAGCAGGTTTAGCAGCAGGTGTTAAACAGGATCATGGGGGCAGTAGGTGTTTGCAGTTGCAGGTCCAGACTCTAAAGCTCTGGAGGTGAGAGGACCTGTGGAGAGTAACAGGATAGAGAAGGAGAACGGAGAGAGAGAGAGGCACACAGCCTGGGCACTTCATGTGCTTGAGGGAAAAAGCAAAGGGCTAGAATGATGCAGTGATATTCAGAAAGTTTACAATAATCTCGCCGGCAGAACAACCTGGACTATACTATAGGTTGAGTTTACTGATTTATTGAGACTGACAACAGGTACAAAGCCTGACTTTTATAAAAGAATAGGAAGCTAACTGAAAGTTAAGGCATAAAAATACATTTTAAGTTTAGATTTGAAAGGCTGAACGGAGTCAGACAGCCTGATATCAGCAGGGAGGTTGTTCCAGAGCAGAGGGGCCTGATAGGAATCAGGTTCTTTTTAACTCTAGGAACAGACAGTAACCCTAAATTCTGGGAACAGAGAGCACGAGATGGAGTATAAGATTTAAGCAGATCAGACATGTATGATGGAGCAAGTCCATTTAGAACCTCATATGACATCAGCACCTTAAAGTCTGATCTGATATGAACAAGAAGCCAATGAAGGGAGGCTAAAATCGGTGTATAGTATGGTGAAATTTTCTGGATTTAGTAACAATTCCAGCTTTGGATTTCTGAACCATTTGAAGGCTTTTAATACGAGCATGTGGCAGGACAGAAAACAAAACATTACAATAATCAAGTCTTGATGAAACGAAAGCATGAATTAAGATTCAGCATCAGTCTTAGATAGAAAAGACCGAATCCTATGTTACGTAGATGAAAAAAGGCAGTCTTGTAGATATCATTAATGTGCTGATCAAAGGAGAGGGAAGAATCGAGAGTGACACCCAGATTTTTGACTGTCAGACTATGAGAAATAACACAGTTATCAAGAGTTAATGTCAATTGTTCAATGTTGGGTCGGGTAAGCAGCATCTCGTTTTTGTCTGAATTTAGGAGCAAAAAGTTATGAGACATCCAGCTTTTCACATCAGACAAACAGACCTCTAAATTCGTAATCTGAGAGGAATCATCAGCCATTATAGGTACATACAACGCAGTATCATCAGCATAACAATGGAAATAAATTCCATGACTGCAAATAATTTGTGCGAGAGGTGAAATATAGAGAGAGAAATGCAGAGGGCCAAGAACAGAGCCCTGGGGTACTCCATGTTTCACAGCAGGAGTATGTCGATGTAATGTTATTATAGGAGACGCACTGTGTTCTGTCAGATAAGTAGGACTTTAACCAGGTGAGGGCCAGGCCATAAACACCAAATTTGCTTTCAAGTTGGTCTATAGTATCAAAAGCTTCACTGAGATCCAGTAAGAGGAGCACAGAGGTGGAGTCCGAATCCATGGACATCAGAAGATCATTTACTACTTTAGTGAGCGCTGTCTCAGTGGAGTGACAGGCCCTGAAGGCAGACTGGAACAGTTCAAACAGATTGTTATTAGACAAATAAGACAAAAGCTCCTGAGACACAGCTCTTTCCAGTACTTCGATTAATAATCAATTAATAATCAATGAATATTGCATGGTCCTTTAAAAGCCTGGGACACACACCATGTGGGCCTGTTGCCTTTCCAGGTAGTAGCCTCTTGAGCTCCTCCCTCACTTCCTCTGCTGTAAAGGACAGGAGACTTGACCCCAGTGTGGAAGGAGTTACAGCTGCAGTGTCAGGTTGTGAAGGAGATGCTGTAAGAGAAGCTGCAGCGGAAGGAGTGGGAGAGAGAACAGGTGAGGCTGTGTCAAACCTGTTGTAGAACAGGTTGAACTCATTGGCCTTGTCCACATCACCTGATGTTGCCTGGCTGTTCTTCTCTTTATAGCCAGTGATGGTCCTCATCCCCTTCCACACCTCTCTGGTGTTGTTGTGTTCCAGTTTCCTCTGTACTTTTTTTTGTAGTCCTCCTTCACCTGCTTTAATCTTCTCTTCAGCTCATGTTGCACACACCTCCCTGTCTCCATCCCTGAAGGCCTCCATTTTCTGGTTGAGAAGGGTCATGATGTTACTGGTGACCTAGGGTTTGTTTTTTGGAAAGCAGTGTACAGTCCTTGTTGGTATTACAGTTTCCATACAGAAGTTAATGTAGTCTGTGGTACATTCAACCATTCTATCAAGGTCAGGGTCCTTGCTTTTATCATTTTCCTTTGACTCCCAACAGTTCATTCCAATCTGTGCACTAAAAACATTCTTTTAGAGACTCACTGGCCTCCGCGGTCCAGTTCCTGAATGAGCGGGTGGTTGCAGCCTGCCTCAGTACACAGAGCTTGTAGGAAGGCTGAAGAAAAACCATATTATGATCTGATCTGCCAAGTGGTGGTAGAGCTGAAGCAGTGTAAGCCTCTTTGACATTTGCATACAACAGACGTCCTTGTGGGACAGTCAACATATTGAGTGAAGCCAGTTAGGTTAGAGTGACATGGTATTCACCGATATTGCAATGAATGCATCAGGGTGCTGGGTCTGTACTCTCGCAACAGTCTCGTGAATGACGTCACACGCGACTTCAGGCTCTGCTCATGGTTGAATGTAAACAACAATGGCGACGATGTGTGAGAACTCCCTTGGTACATAGTACAGTCTAAGACCAACTGCCAATTGGTCTTATCCCAACAGCAGATCTCCTCCTTTACTGTGATATGCCTGGGGTTGCACCATCTATTGTTCACCAGCAGAACCAGTCCACCACCTTTATTCTTCCCACTACGTCTCAGTTCTAGAACCTTCATGCAGCTAACCTTCTCCCTCTAACCTGGTAGCTCTAGATTACATGAGCTAGGCTAACAAAGAAACTCACACCTTCCCTCCCCCACACACCAGGTGGTCTCAGTGGCCATTTTGAGTAGTTTCTTTGTTTCTGCTTTCTTGCGTAGTCTTCTTTGTTCAGGCCATGTGGCCATTTTCAATCGAAATTTGAAATTTGAGGACTTTAATTCATTTTAAAGTTATTGTAGTTATAAAGTTGTAATATAAATTTATGATAGCCAATAAATTGATAGACAACCGAAGGTCCAACATTTATGGTGTCCCGCTTGTGAGGCAGAGCTCAGACCCAACATGTGATATTCCAGTTTTTAAAAATTGCTAAATTTTTGTTTTCACTTTGTCATAATGGGGTACTGAGTGTAGATTCGATGAGGGAAAATTAATTTAAATGATTCCAGCATACAGCTGCAACATGATAAAATGTGGAAAACGTGAATGGGTCTGACTGCTTTCTGATTGCACTCAATGTCAGTGTGTGTATTCTTCTCTAGTGTGAATTATTTGCTATATGGATGAAAGTTTGTGTCCTTTGTGATGTGACACTTCTGCCAAGATCATGCATTATTTATCCTTATTGCATATATGTTATTTATATATAAAAACATCAAATTGATTTAGTTGTAATATTTTTATTTTTTATTTTAGAAAAATCACCTGGCACCAAGAGCTCAAAGATGAAGCCCATAGAAGAAGGCATGGAGGATGACGTTTTCAAAGATTCTGCTCCCTCCAAGTCTTACTATATGGCCAGCATTTCCACTGAGGAAGTGTAGCCAGGGGAACTATACACGTCATCAATTTCATATTATACTGTATATGCTTTGCAAGTTAACAACTAGAGCCTGAATGAACACTAGCATGGCTGATACTAATGAATGTAAAAGACCTGTTTGTGTTTATTTGGAAATTGGTGTCCTGCATTCTTTCTCCACCATAGTGTGCTGACAAGTTTATTTTTATGCTGTATAATGTCAGTACATATGTTGGTCACAGTTCTTTATATCAATCTTATCATGTACACGAATAATTATATTGGTCTATATATTATTATATTTTTTAAGCTGTGAGCAGCAGAACAGGCTGTAAAACAGAACTGATATATTATCACCTTACAAAATTGCTATGGTGAACAAACAACTGGTCATCCAACAGACACAAAGCAATATTATCATCATGAAGTGGTGTTTGTGTTTACCAGATGAATTTCACTCTTCTTATAGCTTTGGTTTGGTCTTCACCAACTCCCAAGAAAAATATCTGGCTTTTTTGATGCTAAATGCTTCACTATGTTCAAAAGCTAGAAACTGTGTCTATTGTTTGTATGTTTGGTGCTGAGCAGGTAGTTTTTGGCGAGCTTTTAGAGATTTTTCCCTCAAATCAGCTGCCTGCCACTAGAAACAAGGTTGATGAGAATGATGGATCACACAGGGTCGTTGAGGGTGTGTCACATGGTGTGTGCTCACAACTATTTAACAGGGCAAAATTTTAGTGTTAATAATAGTGAAACATACAAAACCCATAATGTTTTGGTTAGCCATGCTAAAATACACTAAAATGCCAAGTGACTGTAAAAGCGGTGTATTTCACTCCTTCATGTACAACTCTGTAAAGGTCATCATGGCAGCAATGAGTTTCCCTACCACGTTCACAATTTCTAGGTAAACAGCAGAAAGCAACAATGCTTCATCGGGAAACAACCATGTTCTTCCTGTGGTTGTTTTCTGTCCAATCATCCACTTGCATAATTGGCCAATGCAGCACCTCTCCTGATGGCGTCACATTGTGTTTCAGAAAAAGACCAGATTCTTTTTTTTTCCCTCAAGACTCAGCATCAGTCTGCAGGACTCCTCTGTGGTGCCATACCTCACTGCATAAATCACAGACTGTAAATAAAGATGGATGTAGCTTCAATGACGTCACCAACAGGTTTCTAAAGAGAGGTTTTGTCACCTGTCACTCAACGTGGCATGTCCTTAATTATGCAGAGCTTTGAGCCTTAATAAAATGTAAATAGGAAAGTTATATAAAAATTCACGCCCTGTACAGTTGTCATTAGATATAAAGACCAGACAGTTTTTGTACAAGGCTGTAAACTTTAACATGGGAGTCTATGTGGACTGACTCACTTTTGGAGCCTGCGTCCAGTTGTCATTCGAAGAACTGCAGTTTTTGGTTCTTCCGTGTTGACTTCATTTTCCAGCCTTAAAGATTACTACTTGACATTAACGTGGGAAGGGCTGTAGCCATAAAGCCAAAACAGAGTCTTTGTCTAGATACATAGTACTGTACTTTTCAATCAGAGTAAATGTGGGTGTGAACATGGCCTAAAGCTGAGGCTCAGAAAACAAAAAACAATTACCTAATGATGCTAAGAAAAGGGGAACTGCAGATTTGGCATATGGCACAGGCAAAAAGATAATATTTAGACTACTTGTTATATTACATACTGTCCCATTTTACATACAACCTGTTGTAACTTCTCATAGATTGACATCTACCAATCCCAAATCAGTCAGCACAGTAATCACTCATCATTGTCATTCACTGGTGCTTTGCAACATGGTTATTTTGCACAGCTCCTGTTTTGCGGTCAAGTGCACATGGGTTCCCCATCATTGTGTCTGTATTTATTCATTGTAACAGTGAGAAAAAGTTCCATTATTCATCAAATAAATTGCCTAGCTGTGGCCACAATGTGCCATCCATGCTTCAGCCTTGAGGACTTACATGGAGAAAAACCTACTAAAAGGGTGACAATCCTCAAGTTGCTTGGGAAGTTTCTTTAGTTTCATCCACTATTTAGGAATGTGTACATATGTCTGGATATGGCAGATCCCTATTAATGATTGATAAAACAGTGACTTTATAAAAAAGTCTTGAAATAGCTGAAATGTATTACTTTTGTAATGGATAAAACAATATCACCAATAAATAATATAAAGATACATGAAAATATTACTCACTGATTACTTTGGAATCAGTAATATATTAAAGAACTTGTGAGATTGTTGGCCTTAAGGCTTTACTATGGTGATAATCAAATCAGACTGGATATTTTCTGTGCAGTCAATCTTTTGTTACTTTTGACTGTTTCAGTATAACACACCAGAATAGTTAAAGTATGACATGTAAATGTTATGAGTAATAAATTGTATCACACACTACTTTCTACTTTCCTTCCTTATTATGTAATGTGTTTTCTGAGAATTTCTGAGAATATCTTTTTTGTTTGTGTGTTTTTTAGTGATGATTTGTTGTTTAAAATGTATCCTATAAATAAATAGCCTTGACTGGCTTTTGTTGGTTTTGATATAATACCAAGTCCCACCAGAAGAAGTAGAAGCATTTTGTAGGTCTCCTCCAGTAGTTTGAAAGGGTCAAACCTCTCATAATGATAGATGAACACTTTAACGTTGTCAGGACAAACTGACCAAAATATGACAGAGAAGCGTGTTTTTCTTCATATTTGTCCTATTTTTACTAGAACACAGGTAAAACATCAAACTGAGGCTTTCCTGATAGAAAAGACAGTCAAAGTGAAAAAAGGCACAGAATGCTATTTAATGATGTTAATGCTGTGTATGACTCCGAATGAATTGCTTGTGGCATGAAAAGCATTCAGGTGAGCACTTAAACGTTTTCAGTAAAAACTGACATAATATTACAAACAAGTCTGTTTCACTCATATTCATCCTATTTTGCAACTACTACAAATGAGAAACACCATACTGAAGGTGCCTTTTTCTCATGTCACCTGTCCTTTCTCTCAGGAAATCCTCAGCATGCTGTTTCCCATGTGTGCGTGTGGCAAATAGGACGCATATGAAGTCAAAACAGACTCTACTGTAAAATTATGTCAGTATGGACAGATAAGGTAAAAGTGTTGATATGAGTGTCCCGAGTGCGAACAGCAGTCCATTAGGCATAATACAATGTTTAAAGATCATTCAGAACAATATAGTATTAAGACTCCAGATTCTAGCCGGACATCGCTAAAAAGCAGGCTGGTGCTTTTTTTCATGTCACCTGTACTTTCTCTCAAGAAAGTCTCAGCATGCTGTTTCCCATGTGTGTGTGTGGCAAATACGACTAATATGAAGTCAAAACAGACTCTACTGTAAAATTATGTCAGTATGGACAGATAAGGTAAATGTGTTGATATGAGCGTCCCGAGTGCAAACAGCAGTCCATTAGGCGTAATACAATGTTTAAAATTCATTCAACGCAATTCAATGTTCACAGTCGAGTCGGCTTCATACACACAGTTAACATGGTTAAACATTGTATTATGCCTAATAGACTGCTATTTGCGCTCAGGATGCTCATATCAACACACCTTATCTGTCCATACTGACATACTGGTTGAGTCTGTTTTAACTTTATATTTATCCTATTTGCCACAAGTACACACGGGAAACAGCATGCTAAGGCTTTCCCGAGACAAAAGACATGCAAAGTGAAAAAAGGCACCAGACTGCATTTTTAACATTGTTAAAGGTGTTAATGAGTCCGATTTGACTGTGAACATTGTATTGCGCTGAATGGATTGTAAATACTATGTTTCACCTAATCGACTGCTGTTTGCGATTGGGATGTTCAGAGCAACACTTTGACCTTATCTGTCCATACTGACATAAAATGACAGTAGAGTCTGTTTAAACTTCATATTCGTCCTATTTGCCACACATACACACGGGAAACAGCATGCTGCATGGGATATGGACAACAACAATCAGTGACTGAGGATGTCTATGAAGTCATAGTAAAGAAACTAAAGGGAGAGTTCAATGTTCCTGTCAATGAACGTACAAGAGTACAACAAACCACTCTGGTGAGGCTGTGGAGGAATAGAAATCTCTACTCTCTGAGTGAGGATGGAGAGACCTTACTGTGTGCTGGGAAGCCAGTGGTTTTGAAGTCTAAAATTGGCGGCATTGTAAAAAAAGGTCTGGATGACACAAAGGTGTTCAGGTACAAGGAAGCTGAACAAGCAACTAAATGAGCAATACTCTGGAATTAGTGAAAGAAAGGATCAAAGAACCCTGGACAGCTCCAGACGCTACCAACTCCACTAGGCCAGATTTGGAAATATACCCATTCTGAGGCCCATCAGGGCCAAAGAAGTACAGGATCGGCCAGGATATGGGAAAGTGGAAGATCAAACATGGTCGTTTCACCTATCGATATATCTTCACTGTAATTGATGTCTTTAGTCAATACACATGGCTGAAACCATTAAAAAGTAAAGATAGCTCAGAGATTGCAAAACATCTTTGTGATATCTACACTGAACATGGCCCACCCCGAGTTTTGCAGCATGATCAAGGAAAAGAGTTTAGAGAAGCAGTGCAAAGGCTGATGGAATCGATGCAAGTGAGAATAATTGAGAGTTCACCATACCATCCCCAAAGCCAGGGAAAGGTAGAGAGGACCCACAGAGTGCTAAGGAAAAAGATCATGTATGAGCTTGTGAATTGTCAGAGGAAAGGGGTTAATTGGGTAAACATTTGCCATCATATTCCCGAGTACTAAATGAAGACCCAAAGGAAGTTTTAAGTTGGATGTCTCCATTTGAAGTATACTATGGGAGAAAAAGTAACATCGTGATGCATTCCCTGGCAGGATCTCCATCCAGTGTCATTGGTGAACAATCCACAAATTTACCCTACCTGAAACAGCGGCTTAGATTTGCAGAAAAACGAAGAAGACAAAGACAAATGGCAAAGAAAGCAACTGAGCATTGCAGTAAGCAGATGATCCGGCATGCATCTAAAAAAAATCCTCCATCTGTTTATCATGTAAGTGAAACTGTTTTGGTGAGAGTGAAAGATGGCGCCCATTGATTTTCAAAAAGGTATCGGGTGCCTGGTAGGCTCATGAAACGTAACCTGAAGCTTTCAAAATACAAAGTGTCAGATTCCTGGTAACGCTAAAGTGCAAAAAAATGTTTCTTTGTGTCTAATGTGACCAGTGCAACGCGACAGCAAGAAAAAATTTGCTCTAAGTCTCCAAAGTCAGTGCAACATTTACATCCACTTTTGATGCCATACACACATGAAGACAGACTAAGGGACTATAACTCCATGCAACTGAGTTTGCAGTTTGACCCAGCACCTGATGGAAATTGCCATTAATGCTATGGCTGATCAGCTTGCTTCATTAGGAAAATTCAGATCAGAACCTCAGGTCTAACCCGTCTCGTCTCGTCGTCTCCCGCTTATCCGGATCCAGGTCGCGGGGGCAGCAGCCTCAGCAAAGAGGTCCAGACGGCCCTCTCCCCAGCCACTTCCACCAGCTCCTCCGGGAGAATCTCAAGGCGTTCCAAGGCCAGCCGAGAGATATAATCCCTCCAGCGTGTCCTTGGTCGGCCCCGTGGCCTTCTCCCGGTGGGACATGCCCGAAACTCCTCCCCGGGGAGGTGTCCAGGAGGCATCCCGAACCACCTCAACTGGCTCCTCTCGACATGGAGGTGCAGCGGCTTTACTCCGAGTCCCTCCTGGATGGCCAAGCTCCTCACCCTATCTCTAAGGCTGAGCCCGGCCACTGAAGGAGCTTTTTGCTATTTGGAGGAAAAAACTCTCACCCCCCCACGGGGTGTGTGCAGTGTTCAAAATACTCAAAAGACCAGTGAATGTCCACACCAAAGAATTTAGTTAAATTTGTTTAGTAAATCTTTTCAGCAAGCAATGAACAAATACAGAATTCTGGATCAGATGTGTATTTACCTAACCAATAACAAGTGTTGGTCAGTCCACAGTCTGATGACCTAACTTTCCCTGATCCAGTGTATTTATACAGATAGAAACAAAGAAATGTGCACGGGCGTTTTGTCGTCTTCTGATTGGCTCTGCTGGCTTCCTCCTTCCCATCTGACTCCGACCCTAAGTAAAACCTAAAACTCAGCGCGCCAAAAAGAAGACAGTTAGTGTTTACACATAAATTACCACTTCTCTACCTCTGTTACCTCCGGCTGCCCCCCTACACATGCCCATAGAGTGGTCCTTATCAGTGGTTGTAAATAGTTTCCCTGAGGCAGATGTTTAAACCACAACTCACCCTTAGCACCTAAATATCCACTAGTATGAATCATTAAACAGTTTTAGGTTTAATAGCCTGAAATATTCCAACACCACCCTGCGGAGGAAACTCATTTCGGCCGTTTGTATTTGCCATCTCGTTCTTTCGGTCATTACCCAAAGCTCATGACCATAGGTGAGGATTGGAACGTAGATCGACCGGTAAATCGAGAGCTTCGCCTTCTGGCTTAGCTCCCTCTTCCCCACAATGGACCGGTTCAGCGCCCGCATCACTGCTGACGCCGCCCCAATCCACCTGTCGATCTCCCGATCCATCCTACCCTCACTCGTGAACAAGATCCCGAGATACTTTCCATGTTCCGAAAACCAGTTTCCCTAACCGAGGATCGGACCGCCAAGGCCCCCGCCTTGGTCTGCTGCCCAATTCACACTGCACCAGATCCCACTGACTCTTCCAGCAGGTAGTGAGCCCATTGTGAGACGAACCCATGTAGCCGGTTCGGGCTGGGCCCAGCCAGGCCCCATGGGCCAAGGCCCGGCCACCAGGGGCTCGCCCACAGGCCCCAACCCCAGGCCTGGCTCTAGGGCGGGGCCCCGGTGTCCCTCCAGGACGGGTATTCGGGTTCTTGATATTTTTTATCATTAGGATCCTCTGAACCGTTCTTCGCCTGGCCCTTCACCTAGGACCAATCTGCCTTGGGAAACCCTACCAGGGGCAAAATGCCCCCGACAACATAGCTCCTAGGGTCTAACCCATTTAACATAAATTGAACACCTTTGTCTCACTATGTTGATGGAAATGAAAGGGATGCATACTTGGATAGCATGTCGCAATGTGGGACCTATGGCGATCACGTAACACTACAAAGGGTAGCTGAGATTTTCAATTTTGTTATTACCTCCACACTGGGAATTGATACCTCTTCTATTATATCAGAGTCTAAAAAATACTCAGAAAGTTTACCATTGCTGGTCCGTTGACACATTGCAGAGGGGCATGGAGGACATTACCTCAGTCTGGAAGGATGGATTGGTAAATGATAACTTTATGACATGATGATGTAAACATGAATTCCATCATATTCTTCATGAATGCTACTCAAATAGACAGGAAAACCTACCCTGAA